TTTCACATGCATTGTATATTCTTTGGTGTAGGGATTTGAACCCAATTCAGCCACATCCCATCCCTCTCCATCTCTCTGGTTTTGACTAGAAATTCCATCATGGAAACTTTTCTGGAACACATTGAAACTAGTATATTCCCAGGAAAAGGTCTGCTTTCAAATAATTTAATCAGAAAATTCATGACCAGCTGCAATCAAAGATGCAATGAATGCTCAAGATAAAATGAATGTTCATGTCCAGGACCCCTCTCCCCAGCCCTCAAACTCACAGCATTCATTTATTGATGACTGGTCTGGATGACATTACTTTCTTTTTTTCTAAGGTAGGAAGTAGCTCCACAGACTGAGGCTGATTTTTATTGCCTTCCCAAGGAACCCCAGGTTTAGACAGAACTTTACTCACCCAGCATCGCTGCTATTCCCACAGAGCAGGGCATCAAGCGCTCCCTCCAGGAAGTAGAAATTCCCTTTGAAATTAGGAAAAGACCAGGACATGAAAGTTGTAGGCCTATTTGTACACAGTTGTTCAAACACTAACTCCACCATACTCTAGCCTTTACATCATGCACAAACTCTTCATTGCACCTATTACTGTCTGGGTTTGCTATTCATAATGAACTTTGGGTGAATTTACGTGTTACACGTAATATTCCACAGATTTAGTTTGGTCTAAGTGCTGTTAAAGTTGGAATGTGCTGTGAGCAAGTCACAGGTTAAAGGTTAATGTTTCTTGCCTGTACAGCTTTGATTTGCCATTAGAGGGCTGGCAAGCAGGAGCATTGCTAGGAGCTAAGATACTTGAGCTCTATCCCCACTCATGGGGAGAGGGGTGGCTCAGAGCAGTGCATCGTGGGATGCTGGATGATTAAACATTACATATTTTATCTCTGTGGAACAGACTGAAGTTACCCTAATACAAGCTAGGTAGCACGGACCAGAATTAACCCTCAGCTGAAAAGGCATAACTTTGAGACACTTGAGGCACATCACCACATTCAGGGGCATGCACTTGCAGTGGCAAAGTGCTTTTTGTTGCACTGCACAACCCTGCATGCGCACTTTGGTGTGGGGCAAACTGCCTCACTTCAGGGAAACTGCCCTTTCCCCACTCCTCCTAGCTCCTGGTGTGCTAGAGGAGATGGGGGACAACTAAAGGAGTTTAGGCACTCTGATCAGCAGCCAGAATGCCTCTTAGGAGGATCAAGCCTCTGTGTTTGCCAGCACACACACCTCTTACATGTGCTGTGCTTTTTTTGCCGAGTATTTTTTTGCTATTAGAATTTCCCAATAGCAAAATTTACCTCTGCATTGTAAATATGCAGCGCTGGGCACATTTTAACATTCCAGGCATGTGGCTTGTGGTGCCACGAAGAGGTTTGCAGCGCCACAAACTGCACATGTCTGCACATCTGGATGCAGTGTCAAAGGACATTTAGCATGAGTTAAGGAGTTTAATGAAACACTTGCATTTTAAGTGGCCTTAGTATGGTATAAATGTAATGTTACTTCACCCTAAGTTCCACAGGGTGATTTGTGGTTTTGTTTCGCCATTTAAAACACATGAATCCTAAACACACAAAGCATTTTAGAGATAGCCAAAGTGGTTAGTGTGTTTCCTGATGCAAATACGTAAGGACAATCTCTTTCAGCAAAAGGTTCTTGTAAACCAAAATCAAAAGCTTTGTCTATACCATAGATCAAGGGTTGTCAACCAGGGGTACACATACCCCTGGGAGTCCTTGAAAAGGGGCTAGGGGGTATGCACGGGCAGGCAGAGACAAAGCACCGCCACCCACCATCCCGTGCCGCCACCTCCCAGGAGCAGAGCCAGTGGAGGGGGGAGAAAGGTGAAGACAGTGGCCTCTGCGGGTCACACCGGCATTGCCTGGCTGGCTGGATGCTGGGAGGGGGGAAGGGAAGCTGCCACCACCATCCACCACCCCACGCTGTCCCCCCAGCTGCCCCAGCTGCTCTGTGTCTGGCTGTCGCTCCCTCCCTTCCCCCACTACTCTGCCAGAAGTGTACCCAGAAGGGGTCCACTCCTTAAAAAAAGGTTGAAAACCCCTGCCATATATCATAGGGCTTAACATACCCTACTTATGCCCTGCCTTCCTAAGTCTATGGATATGCTCCAAACTCAGAAGTTTGCCAGTGAGGCTGCTCCAGGCTAGTGCATTTGTGTGCTGGGAACAAGCCTGAGGCAACCTTGCCAGTGATCTTTCAGCTCTGGAGTGCATCAGTGGATGTGGGTGCATGGGGTATGTGCACAGTTCCATGCTCCCTGAGATATACAGCCGCTGTGATATACATTAGGCCTAATAGACGTTTTCAAGAGCCCAAGTATAAGTGAACTGCAGCATTCGTTAAGTCTCTACAAAGCATGGGAAAGCCAAGCTCTCACTTCCATTATCACCTAATTGCCAAAGCCCTTTTCCTGCCACTTCTACCCTGACCAGTTCCCTGACAATTAAAGATGTAACCCTCATACCCTTTGACAAAGGGCAAAGACCGGAAGAACATAATGCTCATCCCTCTCTGATTCTGCCAGTGATCCCACCCAGAGGAGACTAACAGCAGCTGCTGAGATGCATCAGAGACGGTATTTGTTTACTGAAACGGAGAACCTGTCCGGCAGGGTAAGTCCCTTTTGACAGGTGGGGATCAGCATCCCAAGGCACCTGCTACAGCAGCAGCACAAAGCAGCCATTGTTATCCCACTTGGGGCGTTACCCAATTTGCCCTCTTAATAACTATGTTTCAAGGGGTCTATTTGGAGTCTGCTCTATGAGGCCCAAACTATGATTACTTTCCTGCCACTGGGCTTCTGCTTAAGCAACAGAAGTACATTGAAAGTTTGTCCCACTTATGGAATTTCAGACCACAGCACATCAGTCTGGTCCAAGCAACTGTTAACCTGAATGAATGACCAGAAAGCATAGCCCCTGTTTGCACAGATCCATGTTGGCTCCTGTATACTGGCTTTTACTCCTTTAGTATGGAGCCTTCCTGTAGTTCATTTCAGAGCCGCTTGGAATAAAGCAGCTCAGTCAACAGGTAACACAACCTTTTACTGAGTTCTGCTCAGTACTCTGAACAAAGATGTGACATACTTCATTCAGGGCTTATCCTGCTGTAGGGTTACTTGGTAGACAAAACCAGAGACCTGAGGTCTTAATGAGCAGCAGCTCTGCTTCCTGAATAAACGTGGCTGCACAGTATAAAGCAGCAGTGTCAGAGTCTATGCACAGCTCACTGGAATGCAGGGATGCTGTCCTTCAGCTTGGACAGAGGATTTTGGTTTTTCTCAAAATGTGTCTGTTTTTTGACAAAAATCATCATTTGTGAGTTCTGAATTGCACTTCCAGTCCACATGTTTCCCCAGACTCCTAGCTGACCACATCATCCCTCTTCCTGTGAAGAGGTACCCTTGTGGTATATTGACACTAGCGGTATCTTGACACCTAGATAAACTGCAGGGCAACAGAACCCCTTGGATATATGCTTGGGTGGAAAGACAGGAAGAGTAGGGTAAATTAAAGTTCAAATCACGATCATTTGGGCTCATGCATTATCTAGGAATAAACTCCCTTGTCCTGATGGAACTACTACCACACACCAGACTCTCTTCCTGAGTGATGGACAGGTTTCAGTGATAGCTGATCATGGTAGGCTCTGGAGGGTGGGAGGAAGTTAATAATACTGTTTATTTTAGCACGTTTGAGCAGAAGAGGGAAGGAGTGTGAGCATTTACCTTCATCATTCATATAAGCATCATAATCGAAGGTATTGTTACCAGATCCAGTCAGGTTGCCATAGAGTGTTGCATTCACAAAGGTGTCATTGTCCATTCCAAAGATGTCTTCTTGCATAGTCTCATTGAAAGGGGGTGGCCACCTGACACATTTGTGCCGAAGGTTCCCCATGAACAACTGAAGACCAATAAGTGCAAACACGCTGAGACAGAAGACTGTGAGTATCATGACATCGGAGAGCTTCTTCACGGACTGCATCAAGGCTCCAACAATGGTCTTCAGTCCTGATGAGGGAGACATTAGTAGTGGGATAGCTATTCATTTGGTAATCATTCACCATGTGCCAGTGCAGCTATTGAGCTCATAGATCTATCAGTAGGGCCAGACCCACTTACTCAGTCCTGCACCCTATTGCCAGCACAGCCTGGTTTTTCAGTGCAAGGCAAGAACACTCCATAGAAAAAATGCAGCTGGTCAATGATGCAATGCTATTGTATGCAAATTCGTTCCAGACCCTAGTAGGGATCAGTCTGCACACTGAAGCAGAGATTACTCCCACATACTGATGTCTGCTGCCTCTCAGTTGAAATCACCCTGTGTTCACAGACAGTACACAATTGCTAGACAACCTAAAAGATTTATTAAAAATGAACACACTTTGATGGATACTATATATAGAAGTTTCCCTAGTTGGGTACTAATCCTTGTCAGAGAATCAGAGTCTATTTTATCCTGGCTCTTTCTAGCTCCATTTATTTTAGGTTTGTCTTTCATTTGTAATTTGCCAATATAATCCTCTTTTGGTTCAGAGGAAGGGGACAGAGTTCTGTGTCGTTGCAACTGGTATAATTCTTTGCTGACCCATCAGAAAGAAACTGAACTTGGGTCCTAAGGCAAAAGAGCTTTGTCTATTCCAGGACACAAAGGAGTGTCTCATTGTTCTTGTGAGACCTATTTTGGAGACCTGGCTGGTCCGAGTGTTTTTTGACATGGAGAAGCCTCCATGCCTACTGGTAAGAGATGACAGAACCAGTAGTTTGCATCAAGTGCTAGGTTTGTATCTCACCTTTCTATCTACATGAACAATAGCTTTCTGCCACTGTAGAGTGGGAGTAGGTCATTGCATATATCCTGCCAATTCCTTTGATGTGAAGTTATTTGTTTCCTGACAGGATGTCCCTATTAGTGAGGGGCCCAAGTCTTAAAATTCAGATCTGGGTTTCAGTGCACCCTTTGAGTGCATAAGTGATTTGATCCAGCCTTTGTTTGGCACCCTTTCTTGTCCAAATACACATTTTTTCCCTCCTAGTCATCATGCCAGTTTTTCCACTTGTTCAGGTACATCTCCAGTCGTCTAAGTATTTGCCTGCCTAGGGAAACTGACCAGAGTAGCTGTGTAGTAAGTTACTGTGCAGTAAGCATTTTTTAGGCCAGTGTCTACATGTGCAGATGGGTGGCCATCCCCTTTTATGACAGTGTCTATATGTGCAGTCAAGTGGCCACCCCCTTTCTAATGCTATGTGTGGGCTGATTTGGGACTAAAGTTAATCCCAAGTGAATCCACACACACAGTGTTACTGTGCAGTAAGGCATCTACATGTGTGTTAGTGCGCAGTAAGTAATTGGGTGTAAATCACCATAGTTACTGTACAGTACATGTGTGCATTTGTAGATGTGCACCTGTACTCTGCAATAATTTTTGGTTACTGTGCAGTAACCTAAATTACTGTGCAGTAAATGTGCACCCTGTTCAAGTTTGCTGATGACACTAAGATGTGGTGGGGATGTGGGCATGCTAGAAGCAAGGAATAGGCTACAATTCGACCTGGACAGGTTACAGGGGTGGGCGGATGAGAATAGGATGGGATTCAACACTGACAGTGGAAGGTGCTGCACCTGAGGAGGAACAACCGGCACCATACCTACAGCCTGGGGAACTCCCTTCTCGTGAGTACAGAGGCAGAAAAGGATCTTGGAGTCATCATTGATGCCAAGATGAACATGGGCCGGCAGTGTGGGGATGCAGTCAGGAAGGCCAACCACACCTTGTCATGCATCCACAGATGCATCTTGAGCAGGTCCAAGAAGGTGATACTCTCCCTCTATG